TGATGTATGTGTGTCTGTGTCTGTGATGTATGTGTGTGTGTCTGTGTCTATGATGTATGTGTGTGTGTCTGTGTCTGTGATGTATGTGTGTGTGTCTGTGATGTATGTGTGTGTGTGTCTGTGATGTATGTGTGTGTGTTTGTGTGTCTGTGATGTGTCTGTGTGTGTGATCTTCCCATCTCAGGGGCCTGTTTATACATCATGGGGAGAGGCGTCTCCTGGGGGCGGGGCATGCTGGTCAGAGCTGGGCACTTCCTTTCCCCCTCCTGATTGGTGAAGGAACCGTCACAGCCATCTGGATGACCCATTAAGCTACAAAGAGGAAGGGACACCATAAGCTAAGTCAGACAGCCCTGGCCACCCTGGGGCGTGGGAATAGACACAGATAGGGGAGGAACAGGGAGCCCAGGGTGGCCCCGGCACTGACTCACCGTAAGACCTCTTGAGTGACTGTCCCGGTCTGGTTCCCAGAGGCCCTTTCCGCCCAGGCCCTTTGGGCACCCTTTTCCCAGAATGGTCCAGGGGCTCAAGTTACACAATCCTTCAGGCCCTTGAGTTTCTTCCACAAAGTCCTCCTTTAGGAAATAAATCCTAAAAACTGGTTGGTCTCAGTGGCGTGGTGGTGCACACTTTTAATCCCAGCACGAAGAAGAAGAGGAGGGATCTGAGTTCTAGGCCAGTCTGTTCTACATAGCAAGTTCCAGGCCAGCCAGAGTTACACAGTGAGATTTGTCTTAAACACACACACACACACACACACACACACACACACACACAATTGAAAAAAAAAAAAAAAACCACAAAAAAACCCAACCTGGTCCTGGTGGTGAAGACCCATAATCCCAGCTATTCAAGAAACCGAGGCAGGAGGATCACATGCTCAAGGCCTGTATGGACTACAGAGGGAGTTCAGAACCAGCCTGGGCTCAGCTAGAAAACACTTGATGGCAGAGGTCCTAGTCCCAAATAAATACGGGAGGGGGAGGGGCCAGCAAGATGGCTGAGCAGGTAAAGGCTGCCATCCAAGCATGGCAACCTGAGTGTGATTGCCTGGGTCCCACATGGTGGAAGGAGAGAACCGACTCCTAAGTTGTCCACAAGAGTGAGGTGGCAGGACCCCCACCCCACATAAGAAATAAATGTAATTAAAGTTGTTGTCTTGCTTGTCAATACTAAACCACTCAAGAGCAGGCTCTGGTTGTCACAGGCCAGGCATGGTCTCTGAGGCCAACGGAGTGGGTGGGTGGATAGGTGGGTGGGTGGGTGGATAGGTG